AGAAGCTATATCCTTTGTATGACCTAGCCTGTGAGTCACATCACATCGCTTCTGCTACATTCACTCATTAGATGAACATAAGTCCAGCCGGCAGGCAAGGGGATAAGAATGAGCCTCCATCTTTTGAAGGAAGAAGTGTCGAAAAGTTTGCAGTTCTATTTCTAACCACGACACTACTTCATAGGATTATGAACATTAAATAAGTTAATATAAGTAAGTGCTTAAAACAGTGCCCGGAATATGGTAATTACCATAGAAGCGTTTGATTGCTATTGTTATTATTACTATTATTATTCTCCCCTATCCTTCTAGTCCACTTGCTCCTTACTGTTCCTTTTCCCTAAAGTTACCTCCGAGGTGGCCGCTGATCCCTCCTTGACTTATTGGCTCCTAAGATCCCCCGAGGGAAGCAGAGACTTCTTTAGGACTAGCCCCATCCCCTTTATCTGCCTCAGGAAATGAACTTTAGTCACACTAGGACTCCAACCACGGTGGACGGGCCTGGCTGCCAACACAAAGGTGCCAGCCCCTCTGTGCATATCTTAGCCCATACGGTTGCTGCAAGGCTGACCCTTGTTCTCTCATCATCTCTTCAGGTGACATATGCACAATAGTGAGCTGAGAAATTCCCCAGGCAAATGTCTGGCTTGGTGGGACATACTCTTGTCCAGTCAGGGCCCCCAGTGTCATAGAGCGTAGAGGGAGTTGTTTCAAGGGCTTCAGTAGAAACCACCAAGTGGGCGGAAGAACCACCGAGAAGGGCCCTCGCCACCACAAGCCCACAAACCACGAGGCAGAGCTACAGCAAATCGACATGCAGATTGCTCCCTGCAAAGGACACCCACTTGAGGGGGCTGAAACACAGCCAAGCCCTGCTTGCCAAGCCCAGAGCCTAAGCTACATCCGCCCTGAGGGAAGTTCTTAACTGTTCAGAGCGGGCACTTTTTTTTCTAATTTATTTCAAGTATTGCATATACTAGCTGTGGCTGGGACACCAGATCTCATCTGAAGATCCCTGTCCTGGGCCCCTGGTATATGAATACTTGACGACTAGGTGGCTGATTACTTTTTCCATTTGGTTTAACTTTTTTGTTTTCCAGTTTCTGCTTGGATTTCTTTCTGTTGGCGGATAGGTATGCTATGGACAGTAAAGATGATTGCAGGTCGAAGGCACATGAAAGCACTTGCCCTTACCCAGGCTCTCCCAGGCCTCCTCACTGTGCTAGAATTCCGCTCAATGTCTGTCTACCTGGGAACACTTGGGCCTCCTTGAAGAAGCAGTACAAGCAGCCTTCCCTTCGCCCCACTGGCATGGCTGAGGGGGTTACTCCGCTTTAAATGTTCAAAGCAATCGTCTTGGGGATATTGTGGGGACTCACCTTGACAAGATGGAGGAGCAGAGGTGCAGAGGTAGAAAGGGGACTTCAAACCTTTACACACGGATGAATACCCTATGATTCTGCTCTAGAGCAGATCCTCATTTTGCAAGGAGATACTCTGATCTCTGCAAGGACTTATGTCTCGAACCCTAGGGGCCATGTTGAGAGAGAGAGAGAGAGAGATAGAGAGAGAGAGAGAGAGAGATACCACATACAGAAAAAAGTCCCCTCCTCCTGTTTGGTTAAAAATATAAAATAAACAGGCACAGAAGTCACCTCTCCAGAAACTAGCCTGTCTATATTTACACTTGGTGGATCCTCGTCTCCGTGTCCATCATTTTATCTAAAAGTGAAAGAGGCAAAGAAGGGTGATTATAATAGTAATTAATGACCATGAGTAATAAACACAACTCTCATAAGGGCTCAGCCTATGGTTTCCTGCCATCTCGTCTCTGAGGAACACATGAGGTCCATTCACCCTGGTGACTCTGTACCCAGCCCCATGGACCAAGGGGATTTGGCAGCTGTGCACACCCGAGGCCGGAGCACGATGCTGAGCCTCTCCTGTAAGTTGGTTAAAGGGATACAGAGTTTTCAGTGAAAGCCCTACGTGGAAAATAACATTTCTGGCTTTTGCCACTTTGTGGGAATTCGCAACAGAGAATGACAGTAAGAGTAAAAGACTGGTGAGGTCGCAAGAGAGCACAGCCTCTAGTACAAGATTTCTCAACCTCAGCCCTATCGGCATTTTGGGATGGCTAATTCTTTGTGGGGGGAGGGGTGCTCTCCTGCGTATGTAGGTTGTTCAGCAACAGCCCTGACCTCTCTCTTACTCACTGAATGCCAGTAGCAATCCCCCAGTTGTGACAACCAAAAATATCTCCAGTTATTACCAAATGTTTCTGCAGCAGTGTGTGTGGTTAAGAGCAGGCACGTTGGAGTGATACTGCCTGGATTTGAATCCCAGAGCCTGCACCTTGTAGGAGCACTGAATGAGTTAATAAATCCAAAAGTAGGATGACTATATAATTTATCCTCTAAATCAGGGCAATTTGGGACTGAGAGTTCTAATAATAATTTCATGACCTGAGGTTGTCTCTGCAAATGGGGCCGTGGGGTTGGTTGGTCCTCAAGTCCACATACAGTGTTGAGCACTGAACTTTACCCAGTGTCCACTCAACAACTATTGTGCTAAGTGCTTTACATGCAGGAACTTCATTTAATCCCTCCCACCCCAAACCTTGTGAAGTCGGTATTATTATTATACCCTTTTTATATATGTGAAGACCGAAGAACTAGAAGCTAAAGTAACTTGCCCAAGGTCATACAGTGAGTTGTACAGCCAGGATTTGGATCTAGGCAGATGAGTTTCCAAGCTCATGTTCTTAACCACTGTGCTCGGGTGTGCTTGGTGCCCAGGGAAACACCACACCACTCAACATCCATGGGACTCCACATGAATGACTAGCTCTAGGTCATTCACATTAAACCCATTATTTACAAAACTGGGCTTTCAGGAGTTGTTGTGATAAGAAGCAGATACAATGAGAATCGATGTGGAGCAGGAAACCTGAGTAGCAGTGCCCAATCTGATCCCCAAAATTGTAAAGCTCAACAGGTGCACCATCCCATTAGAAAGTCACTATGGTTATTTAAGAATGAAACAAAATTTTTGTGTTTCAATTCATATTCAGTGTTTTCTGAGATGGCCACTAAGTTGTTAGGATATAAAGTCTTCTTAAGTCATTTGGACCCAGTTGATTAATAAATGGAACTGTTAGGTATTTCTTTTGGCCTAGGGGTGCCATGAAGGTGGTGGAAAGGAGAAAGTTTGGGAATTTATGCACCCACCATTTTGCCATTGGGAGAACCCTGGAGGGTAACGGTGGAGAAGGCCTTCTAGCCTAGAGACCTTGTCCTGATTGTCCACGCTGGGGAAACCTCTTCCTGTCCCCATGGCACATCGGCCTGGGATAATGGAATCCCTCCACCCTCGTTCTGTCCCTCTCGCACATGCGCACAGTTCTCCTTTCCCTCACACGAAAGCTCATGTCCCCTGACCCCAATCCGACTGCCAAGTTCCATCTGAGTCCCCTTTATTTCAACCTCTTGCCCTTTCTTTCAACTGTGTCAGGAAGGAAACTGGTTGTTTTACAACTTGAACTTAGTCGAGGTTCAAGTTGAGCATCTCCCATTGATAAGCAATCTGCCCCTCAGGTCAGAGGTCACATCATCAACTCAGACCCACATGACACGGTGATAAGCAGACACACGAATGCATCCCCTCCCAGGAGAGCACTCTGTACCCTTCATAAATATACAAAACCAATCACAAAATAGAATGGGAAACTAGGAGAGGCTGGTAGTATGACAAAGGAGAGAGAGGGTGAGGGCTTGGGTGGTGGGAGGGTGGCTAGTCAGGGAAGTGGCCACAGTCATCCTCTAACTTCCTCATTTACTACAACGATGGCAACGAAAAATTCAGACAGCAGGTGTGTGGTGGAAACATGTGGAGCAAGGGCAGGAGAACTGGTTTTTTTTTTTTACTAATCAGGGGCTACCTTAGACAAGCCACCTCTTGCTGTGGCTCAGTTTGAAAAGGGATTGATCACTGCTTGTAAAACTGTGGTGCCTGAAGCACATTGACAGCCTGTGTGTGTACCTGAAAGCTTTGGAATGTCTGTCTTTCTGGGGTGTTGAGTTTACTCAAGTTTTTTGGGGGGGCCCACTTGTTTTACAGGGCAGCATTTTATATCATTGCTTAAAATTCAAAATTTACATGCGCTTTAATTACAATAACTAACTGATGACACTTCATGGTCAATTACAGTGTGAAAAGTGTTGTGTTAATCTCTTTATATTATCCCTATAGTTACCCAAAGAGGTATTATTATTAAAATTCTATAATAAATAAAAAAGAAACCTGGAGCACAGAGAGATGAAACAATCCACCCAAAGTCATATGTTATTAAACAATGATAAAACCAAAGATTCTCTCCCTACCCCTTCCCCACCTCCAAAAAAAATCTGGGCCAATTACAAGGTGCTTTAGGATTTACCTCCAGACCCATAGGGCTTCTTTGGTGAAGAAGATTATAATATCACAAGTTATAACTATCTCTAAAGTCCAGCTCTGACACTCTTATATCACTAAATTGGAGATTAAAGACCGCACAACAGGTGCCACTGAGGGATGAAAAAAGGCTGCCCCCGCTCCCCGAGAGGGTTCCGAGGGTACACTGGGTGGGGTTTACCGACCCCTTCAGCGCTCCCAAATCTGCTGGAGGGCATGAAGCCTCTGCCTAGGCCACCGCCTCTCGCCCAGGCCGGGTGTTTCCAGCCTATGTCGCCCGGCACTTCCTCGTTCCCGCGCGCCCCGAGTTCAGCTCGCTACGCCCAGCGCCGGCGCTCCTCTGGCGGGAGGGGGTTTGGAGGGGAGATGTCGCAACCACTTCCTCCCTCTTT